AAAGTATAGTCGGGCGTGGCCGACCATATGATACCCTACACCAGTTATGAATATTAAATGTGATTTATTTTTCATAATAAAGCATTTATCTTCAATATTCCCTTGTTCCGATACATTTAAGCAATTTATGGATGAAAATCTAATTTTCTGAAAGAGGCTTTATATGGGGGCTAGGGGCAAATATGGACCAAGCCCGATAAAATTTTGTGAATATATTTATATTTACATAATATTTTATTGTGCTAAATTTCATCGCAATATTTGTGTTTATAAGTTAATTTGGGACATTCAAGTAATTTTCTGAAGGGGACTTTGTATGGGAGCTAGGGTCAAATGGGGCCCGATCTTTATGAAATTTGGCAGGGTCATCCAGACTTCTATAAAACTTAGTTGTGCCGCATTTTATCGATATATCTGTAAATTTAACAAAATTATGAGCTCAAAAGCCCTTTTCGGGGGGTTCTGTTCTATGGGGGCTAGGTGAAATAATGGACCGATTTCAACCATTTTCAATAGGCTTCGTCCTTGGGTCAAATAAAACGTGCGTGCCAAATTTCATCCAATTATCTTGAAAATTGCGACCTGTAGCTTGCGCACAAGGTTTACATGGACAGCCAGCCAGCCAGCCAGCCTGCCAGACGGACGGACATAGCTTAATCGACTCAGAAAACGATTCTAAGCCGATTGGTATACTTTAAGGTGGGTCTAGGACGAATATTTTTGTATATTACAAACATCAGCACAAATCCAATATACCCTCCCCACTAAAGTGGTGTAGGGTATAAAAAGGGATCTGGTAAGTTATATATGTCTTATTTCATCACGCGGTTCCATTAAGAAGGTCGATTATTTGCAGAAAATGTAAAAAATGGATCTGACCGTTTAAACTTTGGTGGGAAATGTATTGATCATAAGAGAATCCTATTTTTATTGCTTCCTAAAGTATAACAGGTAATTTCAATAAATACAAAAGTATGTATATATTAATTATAACATTATTTTTTTTATTTCGTTGAAGGATTAATACATTCCAAAATATAACTCTTACAATTTGAAGGATTGATCATAAAATTTATGAAGAACTACAAAAATATTTTAGAGTCAAACGTTTTACAATTTTTGGAAGTATACCAGTCAACAGTTGGAATATTAATACAGATTTCCTGAAAATTATCTTATTATAAGGTAATATGTAATTCTAAATTTTTGATACATATGTACATTAGACCGACTCACTCTGTATGGAAAGCAAAAACGTGTTTTTGTTACCCCTCTCAAAATTTACCTTGCTTTGTTTTATGATGATTCCCAAAATATTTTAAGTCTAGCGATGACCGTTCGTAAGCTACACCAAATTAAAAAAGGTATTTTGGAATTACTTTTTTTTAATTTTTGTTTGTTTTGAAACAAAATATCCAATACGGGGTATCGTTAAAATAGTATTTTAAAGCCGTCTGCTTATAATTGCATATTCCAAAATATTTAAAATTGTTAGGGTTTTCACTAAGAAAAATAAAATGTATGCAAAATTTTGCAAATTTTGCGCACCACTATACTTTTCTTCAAACCTTTCAAATACTGTATATATTTAAGAAATGCTGTATAATTAAAAAAAATGACTAAAAAGGGACATTTTTGTAACCGGTTCAGCTCACAAAGAGCCATCGATAGGATAGAAATATTTTGGGAACCATTATAAAACATAACAAAGATTTATTAAAACTGGATAAAATATTGAATTTAACATGAAGAATCGTGTTCCCATACGATATTTTCTTTAAAACTGTCCAGCTCACGAATGGACAACACTTAACCGAAAATATTTTGGGAACATCATATTACATAACAGCGAATATTTTGAGGGGGTAACTCAAGCACCATTTTTTGTGAGTCGGTCTAATGTACATACATATATTACTTTTATAGATTAGTTCTTAAATCAATTATTTTTTCTACTATTTTTATTTCAATAAAAACTATAAAATTTCATTTTATTTAGATTTATTTTTATAGATTTTATCTTGGTGGGTATACAAATAGAAGAAGAGAAAACTCATCTTCTAGAAGACGAGAATACTCATCTTCTAGAAGAAGAGAATACTCTTCTTCTAGAAGATAAGATAGGAACACTTATAGATGATACTAAGTAGTCACTTCAAGAAGTGACTTTCTAGTCACATCTAGAAGAGTCTGTGGCAATACCTTACTTCCAAGAGTCATCTAGAAGTTTCTTCTGCGGGTCTTCCAGAAGTATCTTCCACGATACTCTTAGACGTTCCCCAGCTCGGCATCAGTTCTTCCCGACTGGTGACAAGAATTCTTATACTTCCGCAACATCGCTGGCGAGCTTTTAGCACGTTGGAAGTTTCATACGGGTAACTTCCGCAATATAAAATGTTTGTAGGGATGTGTTTAATTAAAATGTTTTTAGTGTGAAAAAATTGTGGTCGAAAATATGTTACTTGTCTAATAAATATTTTGGATAGTCAGACATTTAGTGTAACTATCAAATGAGATTCCCGCGGATTCCCGCTAATACGTTTTCTAGATGCAAATATATGATCCCATAGCGTCTATTGATCTGGATACGCGTCTGGGCCTCAAATTGGCAATTAAGTCATATAAACTCTGTATTTGATGTAGTAGAAATTCATAACTGTTGTTTTTATTTCCTATGTCTCTTTTTATAGTAGTTTCGAGCTGGTAAATAGTCCTTTCGTATAGTTCAAGGTCTATGATATGTATTATTTTAAAGTCTCCTGTCACAAGTTTTGTCGTTCCAGTCTCTATTGTCACTATTTGAGCGTTCGAGTAATCCAAAATTTGTACTTCTGTTCTAGCCAGTGTTATCATTAGTCTGAAAATAAAAATCATTTTTTTTATTAAATTTTTATGGACTCTTCGGTTGGTTGTCGTCAAAACAGTTCCTCCTCTGTCCTCTTTAACTATTTCAATTTTGTATCTAGGTGTCAGTTTATTCCCTATTCTTTTGTTGTTCTTGACAAAAATTACGTCATTGTATTTGTAAGTTTTTCTGTCAGTTTTCTTTTTGTTATGAAAGTCTAAATCCTTTTCTTGTTTTTCCGTCAAGTTCTGTATAATTTTTAATCAGTCATGTTTTAAGGATTCGGGGTCTTTGTTTCTACAGAAAAAAAATTCTATTGGTTTCCTGTTTGTTGTAGAATGAACAGAATTATTGTATTTATTTAAACAATTAGTCAAAAGATCTTCAAATGAGTTATAGACTTTTTCTGCATTCATACACCTCATAACTTCAGTGAGTGTGGAATGAAAACGTTCAATCTGACCATTTACAGTACTGGTATAAGGCGGAGTTTTATAAATTTTAATGCCCAATTGGTTTTCTAACATAAATGTTACTGAAGCTGAATTAAGAGATTTCTCGTTGTCTATGACAACATTCTCGGGGGTACCGAAAGATGTTAATAATTCTTGTAACGGAAGATTTACATCTTCTGTTGCTCTAGATTTAATAATTTTTGCCTGGGCGTATTTCGAAAATATATCTATTGCGGTTAGAATGACTTTATTATTTGTATGGTAAATATCTATGTGTACGTATTGGCCTGGATATTGCGGAATATGTTTTTTCCCTAAAACTATGTTATTTGGATGGCGGTCATATTTGTTTTCACTCCATATTTTACATTGTTTTATTATTTTCTTAATCTTTGCGTGCATGTGGGGAAAATAATATTTGTTAAGTAATTGAAGTTTATTTTCCTTTGAGTTTCTGTGTGCTCGTCTATGTTTATTTATAATTTCAGTCTCTTGTTCAATGTCCGATGTCAGATCTTTAATCATAGTCCTAGTGTATTTTGTGCGAAATTTAGAAAAATGTGATGCCATAGTTCTTGTATTTTACCTAGAATCTGGTCTTCAGTCATAATAGCGTTAGTTACGGAAGGGTTTAGTATGATTTCAGGATTTTTAATAATTTGTCACTGTCGAACTCTGTGTCTATTATTGTATGTCTGTGATATGTGGGAAATATTATTTCAAAGTTGTAAGAGGGTGCATCACCTTTCGAGATAACAATTTGGTTTTTAAAAACATTTAAGGGAGAATCTGTAAACTGAATTAAATTCTGTGGAGAGCTTTCATGGCTATGTTGCGTAGCTGTTAATGAATTAACTTCAACATTTTGCGGGGGTCTTGACAATGCGTCAGCCACGATATTGCTACTGCCGAGTTTGTATTTGATCTCATTCTTCCAAGTTGGCTTTCCATCTTTTCAATTTACTGTTCGTGTTTTTATTCCCAAGAGCATAAGTTAATGGTTGATGATCAGTAAAGATCTTTACAGCTACTGGACCATACAAATAGTTTCTTAATGTTTTAAGAGCCCACACTATCGCAAGCATCTCTTTCTCATTGGTGGCGTAGTGTTCTTCGGCTTTATTCAGTGTTCGTGAAATGAAAGTTATTGGTTTGCCGTCTTGTTCGAGAACAGCACCTAGAGCATAATTTGAAGCGTCAGTTGTTAAATGAAATTAGCTGAATCCCTTTTGGACATTCGTCCCTCCTCACCCCTTAAAAGGACGGTTAGGGGTTTTGCTAATTTTGATAAAGCTTTTACAGACGCTTTGATAAAGCGTCTGTAAAACCCTGAAAGTCCTAGGAATGACCTAAGTTCTTTAATTGTTTTTGGAGGTGACATTTCCTGTATAGCTTTAACTTTTTCTGGATTTGTTCTTATTCCATTTTTTGATATAATAAAGCCTAAGTATTCAACTTCCTTTTTAAGAAATTCACATTTGTTCAATTGAATTTTCATATTTGCCTTTTGTAAGGTGTCAAAAATTGTCTCTATATTTTTCAGATGAGAGTTTTCATCTTGACCAAAGACTATAATGCCGTCTATATCATTCGTGGCCAGAAAGAGAATTTTTAAAATGCATATGTTGTAGCAAGGTATATTTATTTTATAAGGTAGTGTTAAGGGCGAATTCAAAAAAACTTGGGCGAATCGAAATACAACACTGTACAGTATTTGTTTTTGTTTAGGCGAATTCTGGTGTAGGCACAATGTCAAAAACAGCTGATTTATAATATGAGGCGAATTTGTAAAAATTAAAAAAAAAAGTTGTTTGTAAATAAAAGATTTTTTGAAATATAATAAAATTGTTAAAATTCTTCGTAAGTAGCCAAAGAATTTGTCCAGCGTTTAGAAAGTTGTTTAATGATTTTCCCTATTAGGAACACTCTTCGGTCTAGACAAGAAAATGCTAAAATAACGTTTGTCGGCTGATCAGTGGAAGGCTTGTTTGCAGCAGAAGGACACAAAGGCTCAACAATTATTTATGGATATAATTATTTTAAATAATTGCCTTTTCAAGTTTTTAGTGAAATCTTAAACTACATAGAACTAAAACAGAATGGAATATATATCGTCAGTATATTACTGTTTTGCTCCACCGACCATTTTTGAAAAAAATTATGTTTCTATATATTTTGGAGGTGCTCTTACCGATTCCGAAACCCGTATCTCGATATCATCTATAGTTTGCCAGATATTTTAGATTTTTGGGGTAATTTTGGACTTTTTCGCGATTTTGATTTTTTTGAACCGCACCATTTCACGATATGTTGGAAGATCGTTACCAAATTTTATAGTGGTATTTTGGCTGGTATAAAACTTATGTGTGCTCAATTTAGAATTGATAAATATACATTTCCGATTTTTATGAACGAAAAAGTCATATTCTAGTGCAGATTTATATGGCGGCTAAGGGAATTCATGGTCAGATATTAACCAAATTCTATAAGTACCTCCTTTAGGCCAAAATAAGACTTTGTGCCAAATTTCAACAAATTATCTTCAAAATTGCGACCTGTACCGTGCTAGTTTTTTGCCTTTTGTATGATATAGACCATAAAATGCAAAAAATATTGATATAGACCCTAAAACAAGGTCTTTTGTTTTCTTTAAAAATTTAATAGCTTTTGTTTAATTGTACATTAAGGTATAAAAACTAACAGTTTTATACCTTTTTTTAAAAGCACACTTTTAAATGTCAAATTAAAAATATAAACAAACTTTGACATTTTGCATACATTAACCAAACGTAAACAAAGTTTGACATTAACTCTACACCGCGGCGAAAAAACATGAATGTGAGCAAAAAATAGTCAGCTGTTTTGTTAACACTACCTTATAAAATAAATATACCTTGTGTTGTAGTGTAAAATATGAAAGAGAACATAAATGAAAATATGTGTGCTTTGCACTATAAAAAATATATATGTTTGTACTTATTTGTGTTATTCATATTATTTGTATTATAAATGAACAACAGAAGGAATGTATACATCGATGTATGTATGTATTGACGAAACGATGTATTGCTGCATATATTGATGTAAGAATGTATTAATGCATATGTTGATATATTTATATACATATGTATGTATGTATGTATGTATGTATGTATGTATGTATGTATGTATGTATGTATGTATGTATGTATGTATGTATGTATGTATGTATGTATGTATGTATGTATGTATGTATGTATGTATGTATGTATGTATGTATGTATGTATGTATGTATGTCCGTCTATAAGTGTTCAAATGATTAACCGTTAATCGATGAAATTTTGGCGATTAATTGCTTGAATAAATGACAATACAAATATAATTGTAAATAATTATTTACATAATAAATATATCTATCAAAAGTATTTATACAAACATTTATTTGTAACGGCTTTTTAAAATATTCTCTGTGTATCATTTCATAAAGAGAGCAACTAAATTAAATTGTTTTTGTTTTGTGTATAGTTTGTTTTGTTGCTGAGAACATTCGTACTGCATGTGTATGAGTGAGAATAACACAATGCCCGCAGGGGCATAAAGAAATAAACACAGATGGCGACATGGCTCTCTTAAAAAAGTACTCTTAAGCTCAGTGACGTCATCAGTGCCTAGAACTGATTGTATGATATGAAAATTGTATGTGATTTATAATAGAAAAGTAAATAATTATGTTTAAAACTTATTTGTGTCTAATAAAATAAATTGTATTTTATGTTATTAGGAATATTTAACTTATTTAAATACTAAACTTATTTAAATATAATAGGGACTAATCTATTTATTACAGAAATCATTTGCTTCATACTAACCCATTTCGAATTGTAAATTGTTTTCAAAGTCTTCGGTTTTGAAATGCTCTATACAGATTTTAGACGTTTTAACGTTAATTTTTTTATTGCGGCAACAAACACTTATCCATTGCTTTAATAAGCTAGGATCTGAAGGAAAGTTAAAAAAACTTATCGCACACTATTTTGATTTTTTATTATTATTATTATTATTATTATTATTATTATTATTATTATTATTATTATTATTATTATTATTATTATTGCAATTTTTGACTGCACACCGCATTTTAATTTTTAATTTACTTATTTTATCTTTTCACTATTTGTTTTCAAATTTCATGTGAAAAGTAAGTATTTTACATTTAAAACATAGCAAAACAAGCACTGTTGACGTCACGAAAAAAGAGTAAAAGAGTACATTAAAATAACGGAATTCTCGGTGTCGCAATATTGTTTATTTCATTCATGCCGCAGGGGCATGTTTGGCCGCCAATGGTCTATATAGACGAAACATATTTTTCCAATATGATCTCTTAACATATCATCTAATGCTCGCTGAAATACGGCTGGAGCGTTTTTTAAGCCAAAGGGTAGTCTAACAAATTCGTATTTTCCGTTATTTACTGAGAATGCTGTTTTTTCTATATTTTTTTCCCTGAGCAGTATTTGGTGGAATCCGCTTTTCAAATCTAGTACTGAGAACCAATTATTTTTCCCTAATGGTGCTAAGACTTCGTTGATTTGTGGTATAGGGTATCTGTCCGGAATTGTTACACTATTTAATTTCCTATAGTCTATGACCATTCTATACTTCTTTTCATTAGAAGCATCCATTTTCTTCGGTACTACCAATACGGGTGAATTGTATGGTGACCTGGGTCTTATTATTCCGTGGTCTAGTAATTCTGTAATTTGTTTTTCAACTTCGTCTTTCATTGATATCGGGTATGGATAACTTTTTGTATAAATTGGGTCGCCAGTCGATGTTCTAATGTCTGCTTTAACGGTTGTATTGAATGTTAACTTTTCGTCCGGGTCTGAAAAAAGTGAATTGTATTTTTCACATAATTTCATAAATTTAAATGTCTTTTCGTCTGTGAGATGGTTTGTCCTTATGTTTAAATTATTTATAGTTTCTGATTGTTTTATATGTATTTTTATAGAGTTATTAATTGTCATAATATTTTGAGAAGTGTAAATAATTGCGTTTAGCTTTTTTAGACTATCGTTACCTAAAATGCCATGAAAAGATTTTAATGATGGCAATAAAAAGAATTTGAGATTTTCTGATCGTACACCAAATAAATGAATGAATGAATGTGTGGTGAGAGATTGTAACTTCTCCACCAACGGAATTTGCTTGGAAAATTATTTCATCAGCTATTGGATTTTTTACTAATTTAGGTTGAATATAATTTTTATATGATCCTGTGTCAATTAAAAAGTAAAATATTTTACCATCGCTGGCTTTACATTGAAAATAAGGTAACGTTGAGTTGTTTAATCTAAAAAATGAATATCTAAAAATTCGGTGTGTCCGTTTTCATCAAAAGTATTGAAGTGCTCATTTTCTTCTGAAATGTTAAAATGTTCGTCTAGATATTCTGTCAAGTCTTGCAGTCCATCGTCTTCTTGTTGAAATTCGTTAGTATGACTTTCGTGGTCAGTGTCGGGTATGGTGTCATTTTGAGCTTGTTCGATATGGTTGATTCTTTGTAATTTTCTAGTTTGGTTAAATCGTGCAGATTGGGGTAAAGGTCTTACACCTACGAATTTATTATCTGGAAAAGGTCTATTAATGTAATTTACTTTTTTTGTTTGGATGGAAGAATCTATTTCCATTGGGACTGGAGGTTTAGGATAATTAGGTCTTGGTGGTGGTAAGTTTTGTTGTGGGTAGGTATAATTTCTATTATAGTTTTGTCCGTATGGGTTTTGGAAATTTTGTCGATATGTCCTTGAGTAATACGTTGATGAGTGTTATATCTTTGTTGATTAGCATGTGGCATAATTGGTATATTGGGTTGGGGAATATGTGCTAGTTGTGGATAGAATTGTTGGTTTTGATAGGTGTTGTTAAATTTTCTATGTGGAATAGGAGGCGGAATTTTGTTAGTGCCATTAGCCTGTTGTGTTCTAAATTGTTGGTTGTCTAACTTCAAGCATAAGTGTAAAGCTTCATGTAAGTCCTTTGGTTCCCTAATGCCTAGTAATCTGGGTAGATCACCTCTTAAGCCTCTGACAAAAGTGTCAAGTGCTTTATTTCTATAATTTTTTGTCAGTAAGTAAATTGCATCTTCGCTCTCTTCTAAGCATGCAATCTTATTATACTCTTCTTATTATACTCCAATTAAGTGGGGTATTGTAGCTTTCTAAGGCGATATCAGCATCACCAACAATTTTATTTCGAATTACGTTAAGTATTCCGAAATATTTAGCGGTTCCTCTAAGAGGTTCGTAAATTTTCAGTATTCTTTCTGTACTTTTTTTCCATGAACTAAATTCAGTCTTGTTGCCCGAAAATTCTCTAAGAGATCTTACAACGTCAGGTATTTTGTCTAAGTCTGTTAAGTCGTTATTGCGTTCTATGCCCTGATCTACTGATCTATGTTCTGTTTCGTTATGAGAAGACCGTTCTTCTAAAAGTATCCTACGCACTATATTTGCTATATTAACTTCTTGGTCTGGTATCACAACATTTTGGGGTTGTAGTTAGGGAGGTTTATATAAAACGGGAGGTCTGATTAAATTATTTTGATTTGCCATAATTTGATAGGAAAACTTGTGGAATTACAAATTATAAAACTATTTCTTTTATTAAACTTTGTGTTTAAACTTAATTTTTTAAATTTGTTTATTTGTTTTTTCTTTTTTTAACCTAATTCTTAACTTTGTTTTTTTTTAATTCTTATTTGTTTTTTAACTTTGCTTTTAAATCTTATTAGAATACTATTATTTTATCTTTTAATTTCCCTATAACACTAGATTATTAACACTTAAAATTTTAAATAATTATATTATAATATTATATTCTTACATTACAATAATTATTTCTCTTGTTGGATTTTTTGATGGTTGTTGTTGTTGATTTTTTTAGTTGGTTATTGTTGATGTTTGTTGTTGTTTTTTATTTGGTTACAGTTGATTTTAGTTGATTACAGTTGATTTTGCTGGTGCTTGATGATTTGGTTGTTTGGGAATATTGACACTTGGCCGATATTTCCAATGGTTTAATTTTTGCTGATTAAAGTTGATTTTGGTTTGGTGATTTGGTTCTTAATGTTGGTATTTTGT